GGCTGCCAGTCGCCCCCCCGCCGTATCCAACTCCCGCCCTTCGAGCCCGCAGCACCTGCTCGCCCCTGGGTCTCCAGGAGACCACAGGAGGAATCGAGGTGTTTCAGCGCCCGCGCGGCCAGCGCGGCCCCGAGTTCACCACACTTCCGGCCTCTCTGGCCCGCCACACCGGCGCTCAACAGATGATAAAGCACGGAGAGGGGCGGGCCCTGCGCAGCTCTCTATGGTCTGGAGGACCGTGGAGGTGTTTGGAGGAGAGACCTGTGGGTCTGTCGCCGGACAGGCTGTCCGCCAAGCGGTTCTGTTCCAGTACCTCTATTGAGCGCCTCTTGTGTGGCCGGCCACTGCCGAAGTGAATAAATATATATATATATTTTATGTTTCTTACGTTCTTTCAGGAACTAGAGATAGGCACGCCCAACGCGATCTTCACCTCATTCATACACGCAGTGCCCCGATCCTGGGCGAACGCGCACACACCTGTGTGCTGGGGGCCCTGGAAGGACCGGGCTCGTGGAAAAGACGTGGGAGGTGACACTAGTCCCTGCTCCCAGTTCGGGGAGATGAGGCCTCAGTGTCCTCATTCATTCATTCCACATATTCCCCAGAGCCGCTTCTGTTCCCGGCTCTGTGCGGGCAGCACTAGTGACACGGCGACCAACACCCGTCCGGCGCCGCCCTCCCGGGGTCGATCGGCCGGTGGAGAGACGGTCCCCACCAGTGGCCACCTGGAGTGGGCAGGGGTGGCAGGGGAGACCCCAGAGGGCCGAGAGCGGGGGCTGGGGGTTGGAGGAGCTCCTAAGCCAGTCCGGAAGGACTTCCTGGAGAAGGGGCCATCGGAGCAGCAACCTGGCTGCGGAGTTCGCACCGCATTAGTCATTTCCTGAAAGGCTGGCATCACGCTGTTCCAACTCGCAGCGCTCTGATTACGAAGGAAATGGACCGGCGGTTTTATTGGGGAGTTTATTGGCCTTATGTATTTGCCTTCTGTGAATTGCTTGCTCATATCCTTTGCCCATTTTTAAAATAGGTTCTATGCCTTTTTTATATCACTAATAATAGGTAGGAGTGCTTTATGATACCAGTTCGAATTCTTTTTTCTAAATTTGTTTCTTCCATGAGCAAGACAGAGACGGACAGAGAAACAGCACCCCCCAACAGGGTCCCAACACCAAGGTTGTAAATATATTCTACCAGCTGGCAGGTGGTGTGGTGGTTAAGGGCGCTGGACTCCGACATGGCCGGCCACGGTCTGAGTCCCGGACCTGGCGGCTTGCTTCCTCACTTTCTCTCTCTTTCTCCTTCCCTCTCTGGTCAAATTCAAATAAATGAATAAGTGAATAAATACACAAACAAGCAAAGTTTAAAAATAATCCCTAAAAAAATGCATTAAATTTATTGGGGCCGGCAGTGGCATGGTGTTAAGAGTGCTGGACTCCCGGGACCAGCAGTTAGCGTTATGGCTATGTCACTGGACTCCCATGTAGTCGACCGCGTTTCGAGTCCCGGACTCAGTGGCTTAAACTCACACCGGGCGCGTGTGTGTGTGTGCCCAAGATCCCAAGAGGAGAATGGAGGAGAAGGGATTGTAGCGTGGCCACCTCCCCTGGGGGGTAATTTCTCACTTTCTGTCTCTCTGTCTCTGTCTGGCTGGCGAGCACGTGCCCTATAGCAAAAACCTCTCCAAAAAAAAAAAAAAAAGTGCTGGACTCCCATATGGTGGATTGTGGTTCGAGTCCCGGTCCTGGCAACTTGCTTTCTCACTTTCTCTCTCCCTATCTCTCTCTCTCTGTCCCTCTCTGGTCAAATTAAAATGAATAAATAAATGCATAAATAAAACTAAATTTTTAAAAAATGTATATATATATTCAATCATTTCTTGTAATATTTTCCTGGTTTTTTATTTTGTTTCAATCTTTATTTAAGATTTATGTAGATTTTTTTTTTGAGAGATTTTCGCTATAGGGCGTGTGCGCTCGCCAGACAGACAGAGACATAGAGACAGAAAGCGAGAAATCAGCCCCCAGGGGGGATGGTCACACTGCAATCCCTTCTCCTCCATTCTCCTCTCGGGATCTTGGGCATGCACACACACGCGCCCGGCGTGAGTTTTAAGCCACCAGGTCCGGGATGCAAACCACAGTCGACTATGTGGGAGTCCAGTGACATAGCCATTATGCTAACTGCTGGTTCCCAAGATTTATGTAGTTTTAAAAAGGATTATTTATTTCATGATTTTTAAAAATTTTGTTATAGGGCACATGCATTCACTAGAGGGAGATAGAGAGAGGGAAAGTGAGAAAGCAAGCCAACAGCTCCACAGAATTCAAACCACAGTGGGCCCCATGGGAATCCAATACTTTAACCACTGGTCCAATATAAGAGGGACCAGCAGGTAACATGGTTGTTAAGACACTGGACTCCCACATGGCAGACCATGGTTTGAGTCCCAGACCTGTAGGCTTGCTTTCTCACTCACTCTTTGTCTCTGATCAAACTGAATAATAATAATAAATAAACATAAATAAATAATTCTTAAAAAATGTTTATTTTTGAAAATGCACTAAGGGCCGGCAGGTGGTGTGGTTAAGGTGCTGGACTCCCACATGGCCGCCCACCGTTCAAGTCCCAAGCCTGGCAGCTTGCTTTCTCACTTTCCTTCTCTTGCTCTCTTGCTCTGTCTCTCTGGGATCAAATTAAAAGAAAGAAAGTTAAATGAAATAATTATTTAAAACAATTTTTCAAAAGCACAAAGATAGGGATTTTTAATGGATATAGCCCACTGTCCTAATACCAAAGATCATTTCTTCCCGCACTGTTTTTGCATGCTTGGTCATGTACCAAATTCATACACACACAGAGGTCCGTTTCTGACATTTCAATGAACATAATTTACTATGTTCACTGACTCCTATTGCCTTTTTTGTGTGTGCTTCTGTTGTTTTCATTGATTTCTTTCTGTTTCTCGCTGCTATAGAGACTACCTTCTCCGTCTCTTCACATCAGTTTTCCACCTCTGCGTGCCTGCGTCCAAGTTTCCCCATTTTATCCGTCCTGTTGAATCAGGTCCCACCCAAATGACTTCATTTTAACTTGATTTCCTCAGTAAAAACCCTGTTCCAAGAAAGGTCATGTTCTGAGGTACTGGGGTTAGGACTTCAATGTATCTTTTTTGTTTTTAAAGGATTATTTTATTCAACTTTATTTATTTATTTATTTAAATTTGAGCAGAAGGGGCAGAGTGAGAGAGATAGAGAGAGGGAAAGTGAGGAAGCAAGCCGCCAGGTCCAGGACTCTAACCAAGGTCTGCCATGTGAGAATCCAACACCCTTAACCACCACGCCACCTGCTGGCCCAGGACTTCAACATATCTTTGGGGAGGTGTCATTCGACCCATAATACTCTTTATTTCCAAGTTTGCTATACGGCTCCTGCACTTGCTGCAGAGAGACAAAGAGAGAGTGAGAGAGGGAAAGTTAGAAATCAACTCCCAGGGGGATGGCCACACTGCAATCCCTCTCTCTCGGGATTTTGGGCGCGCACACACATGCCTGGCATGATTTTCAAGCTGCTAGGTCTGGGACTCAAACCTTGCTGCCGGCCAGGTGGGATCCAGCCACTTTAACCTCATGCCACCTGCTGGTCCCCATAACAATTCTACTAGTTCTTTTCCAACCCTCTTTCTCCTGAATTCATTTGTTGTTGTTATGATCAGCTACTCTAAAAACCAGTGTGACCTTTTATATTTCTTTTTTTTTTTTTTTTTGAGATTTTGTTGTTGTTGTTGTTATAGGGCATGTGCACTCGCCAGAAACAGAGACAGTGAGACAGAAAGTGAGAAATCACCCCCGGGGGGGGATGGCCACACCACAATCCCTTCTCCTCCATTCTCCTCTCGGGATCTTGGGCACGCACGCACACGCGCCCGGCGTGAGTTTTAAGCCACCAGGTCCGGGACATGAACCGCGGTCGACTACATGGGAGTCCAGCGACATAGCCATTATGCCAACTGCTAGTTGCATATTTCTTTCTTTTTTAAGAATTAATTTTATTTCATTTTATTCATTGTCATTATTTTTATTTTGTTGAAGTTGACCAAAGAGAAAGAAGGAAAGTGAGGAAGCTGTCAGGTCTGGGACTCAAACTGCAGTCAGCTGGGAGAGAGTCCAACCACTTTAACCACTGCGCCATGTGGCCGCCCCATCCTTTTTCTTTTCTTTTTTTTTTTTTTTTTTAGAGTTTTTTTTTTTTTTTTCACTATAGGGCACGTGCGCTCGCCAGACAGGCAGAGAGAGCCATAGAGACAGAAAGCGAGAAATCACCCCCCGGGGGGATGGTCACGCCGCAATCCATTCTCCTCCATTCTCCTCCCGGGCTCTTGGGCACGCACGCACACGCGCCCGGCGTGAGTTTTAAGCCACCGGGTCCGGGACGCAAAACGCGGTTGACTACGTGGGAGTCCAGCAACATAGCCATTACGCTAACTGCTGGTTCCCCTTTTTCTTTTCTTCAGAGAGGTTTTTGCAGGAGCAGCAGGTAGCGCGCTGGCTGAGGCGCTGGGCTCTCACACAGCCAGTTACGCTTCAAATCCTGGACCTTTCTCCCCTTCCCTCTCTCTCTCTGTCTCTCTCTGGTCAGATTTTAAAAAACAACAGCAACTGGGGACTGGCAGGTGAGATGGTGGTTAAGGCACTGGACACTCCCACATGGCTGACCACAGTTTGAGTCCCAGACCCGGTGGCTTGCTTTTTCACTTCCACCCTTTCTCTCTCTGTCTGACTGGCAGTGCGACCCTGAACCAGATGACGTCTCTGGGTGAGTTTGCTCCGAGTGCCCTAAGCGGGTGTGAGGGCACGACCGTGACGCCGTGGAGATGAGGTAACACGTGCAAGGGCTTGAGCTGGACTGGATTCCACTGGAGGGTATCTCCGGGTTTGCCAGAAAAATAGAGGCCTTGACCACGCCCTGGGCAGACAGTGGCTGGGCCTGTCACAGGGACCACTGCATCCCAGTGCCCCGACATAGGGCCCGGCACCCAGGAGGGCCACATGTCATATGAATGCACAAAAAACACGGGACCAGCAGTTGGCGTAATAGCTATGTCGCTGAACTCCCATGTAGTCGACCACGGTTCAAGTCCTGGACCTGGTGGCTTAAACTCATGCTGGGCGCATGTGCGTGTGTGCCCACAATCCCGAGAGGAGAATGGAGAAGAAGGGATTGTGGTGTGGCCATCCCCCATGGGGGGTGATTTCTCGCTTTCTGTCTCTATGTCTTTTCTGGTGAGCACACGCACCCTATAGCAAAAATCTCTCAATAAAAAAAAAAAAAAAGGAAAAGAAAAGCAGAGAAGCAGAGCCCTACGGCATCCGCCTCACCCCTGTGAGCCTCAGTTTTCCCATCTGTAACTGCTGAGGTTGGGAAGAAGATTCTCTACGGTCTGGGTCCTGTCCTGAGATGGACCCGCTCATTCATCCTCGCACAGCTACCCACGGATGACCCACTGTGCGCGCGGCACCCGGGACACAGCTGAGATGGACCCACTCGTTCATCATCGCACAGCTACCCACGGATGACCCACTGTGTGCGCGGCACCCGGGACACAGCTGAGGGGAGACCTGGTCAGGTCTGCCCTGTGGAGCGAGCCTTCAGGGAGAACTGGCCATAGACACTAGACCAGGGGCCAGCAAGTAGCATGGTGGTTAAGGTGCTGGATTCTCACAAGGCCAACTGCAGTTCAAGTCCTGGACCTGGTGCTAGGTCGCTTTTCCTCTCTTTCTCTCTGACATTCTCATGAGAGCATGTGTCCTATAGCCAATTTTTTTTTGGGGGGAGAGGTTTTTGCTATAGGGCGCGTGCGCTCGCCAGACAGACAGAGAGAGACAGAGAGACAGAAAGCAAGAAATCACCCCCCAGGGGGGATGGTCACGCCGCAATCCCTTCTCCTCCATTCTCCTCTCGGGATCTTGGGCACGCACGCACTCGCGCCCGGCGTGAGTTTTAAGCCACCAGGTCCGGGACGCAAACCACAGTCGACTATGTGGGAGTCCAGCGACATAGCCATTACACTAACTGCTGGTTCCCCTATAGCCAATTTTTAAAAAATACATTTTGCCTTAGGGTGTATGTGCTCACTGGAGAGACAGTGAGAAGGAAAGTGAGAAGTCACCCCACATCTCTGTGGGCACACTGCAATCCCTTTTCCTCCATTCTTCTCCCAGTATCCGTAATCTCTTCTCCTCCGTTCTCCTCCCAGGATCTTGGGCACACATGCACATGTGCTCAGCGTGAGTTTCAAGCCACCAGGTCTGGGACTTGAACCTCAGTTGGCCATGTGGGAGTCCAGGGACATAACTGCTATGCCATTTGCTGGCCACCAACCCTATAGCAAATAAAAAAAAAAAAAAGAGAGTAACAATAATACATAAAATAAAATATATAATTAAAAGAAAGAAAGAAACACCAGGCCAGCCCACCCACCTGGTTAGAGTGCCCACTAGGTCGGCCTGAAGCACATGCGCCCAGGATCCTGGCAGGCTGGAGGTCTACAGGAAGGGCCTGCAGTGGGACCGGACCCCATGGAGAGTGCTTCTCTCTCTCTCTTCCCCACGTGTGCGTGCATACACTCTCTTACACATTTTTTTTTTTTGCAGAGGTTTTTGCTATAGGGTGCGTGCGCTCGCCAGACAGACAGAGAGAGACAGAGAGACAGAAAGTGAGAAATCACCACCCAGGAGGCATGGCCACGCCACAATCCCTTCTCCTCCATTCTCCTCTCGGGATCTTGGGCACGCATGCACATGTGCCCGGCGTCTCACACAGTTTTTTAAAAAGGAGAGCCAGGTGGTAGCATGGTGGTTAAGGTGGCTGGATCCCACAGGAATGACTGCATGGTTCAAATCCCGGACATACTGGCTGAATGGAGGAGAAGGGATCGCAGAGTGGCCATCGGGGTGATTTCTCACTCTCCCTCCGTCTTTCTCTCCAGTGACCAGAAGGACCCTAGAGCAAAAAAAAAAATTAAAAATTAAATTAAAAAAAAAGGAGGGGCCAGCAAGTGGCATGGTGGTTGAGGCACTGGACACTCCCACATGGTCTAGCACGGTTTGAGTCCCGGACCTGGTGGCTTGCTTTCTCACTTTCTTTCTCTCTGTGTGTCTTTCTCTGGTCAAATGAAAATAAATGAATGAACAAATAAAAGTAAATAAATAATTCTTTTTAAAAAAATAAGAAGGAAAACACAAATAGAGCTGAGCTGCAAATAGCCACCCCCACTGGGGCCAGCAGGTAGCGTGGTGGTTCAAGCACTGGACTCCAGATGGCCCACTGTGGTTTGAGTCTTAGACCTGATAGCTTGCTTTCTCACTCTCTCTCCCTCCCTCTCTTTCTTTGTCTCTGTCTGGTAAGGGCACATACCCGATAACAAATTATTAATAATAATAATAAATAAAATTCAATAAATAATTTTTAAAAAATAGTCAGCCATTGGACCGGCAGGTGAACTGGTGGGTACCGGCAGGTGACATGGTGGTTAAAGATGCTGGACTCCCACATGGCTGACTATGGTTTGAGTCTCGAACCTGGCAGCTTGCTTTCTCTCTTTCTCAAATTAAGACACATAATAATAATAAGCAGAGTTAAATAAGTGACCAGCAGATGGTGTGATGGCTATGTCGCTGGACTCCCACGTAGTCGACCATGGTTCAGGTCCCGAACCCAGTGGTTTAAATTCACGCCGGGCGCCTGTGCGTGCGTGCCCAAGATCTTGAGAGGAGAATGGAGGAGAAGGGATTGCGGCGTGGCCATCCCCCCTGGGGGGTGATTTCTCGCTTTCTGTCTCTATGTCTCTCTCTGTCTTTCTGGTGAGCGCACGCGCCCTATAGCAAAAACCTCTCAACAAAAAAAAAAAAAAAAGTTAAATAAAATAATTCCTAAAAACAATAGCCAGCCATACTCCTATAAAGATAGAACACAGCGCTGGGAAGCACGGCCGGGAGAGGGGCGACGCAGTCACAGGAAGGGACGGGGACTGTAAATAATTATTAACTGCACACTACCTATGGCCTCACAGTGCCTGCCCTTTAGGCATTAGCTCATGTGACAGATGAGGGAACTGAGGCCCTGGCGATGGGGGAGCCCCGTGGTAATTGCCTCCAAGGCCAGCTGGGGTGGAAGCGGGACTCGGTTTCTCACCCGGAGCGCAATGGCCAACTTAGCCTGCACCTCCTGCCTTTACCGCCAGAGGGCGATGGCGCCCCAGGAAGAGTTGCAGTGTGGGGACGCCGGGGACGCCGCCCCAGGACCACGCGGACCCGGAGGGAGCGAAGCAGCGGCAGCGCTGCGCGTCCCGGCCCGTTTCCAGCCGCCGGCGGTTAACGTGAGTCTGCGCGCGCTAGTCACCGGCGAGGAACAGCTGCCTTCGGGGCCGCATCGCTCCCGAGTTTGACTTCTGCCTCCGATTTCCGGGACCTCCGATCCCAGACTGCGGGTTCGAATATTCCCGCCGTCCACACTCGGATTCCGCGTATTTCTTCCGAACGCCCCACATCTGAATCCCAGCGGCTACTCAAGTTGCCATGCGACTGGCCTCGGTCCTGCTGCCCTCCCAAACCTGTCCCTAGCCCCAACTTCAAGTCCCCTCTGCGCCCCGGAAAAGGTGACTCGGAGACCCCCGCCGCTAACCGCCGGGGGCTCCGAGCCGGGGGGG